TTATTTGAGAAGGAGTATAATATCCCTATCAAAAGAAACAAAATGGCTGTTTACATATTAAGTCATTCTACTGAGCTTCTTGATAAGTTTGTTGTAGGAATATGTCGTATTCATTTTCAACTGTTAATTTCCGCTTTTCTTTGAACCAGTCTTGTATTGTATTGAATCCTACAGAGGATTGTTCAGCAATAATTAAACACAAACAAGCTCGAATAGATATCATCTTTGTCGATGATTGATTGAAAAGTTCAGTGAGTGTTTGCTGGATCTTATTGGAGACATGATAACTTATTTGAAAATTTTGTAACTTACGAAGATAATTACCATAGACTAATAAACAAACAGCTAAAACATCTTCTGGATATTTGTTCGAGCAAGAAATGATTGTCTCCAAATGAGCAATTACTTTATCTGTCAAGAAAACATGCTCTTTGTCTATCGAGTAATCTCTGAATACTTTATAAAGACTATTAAGAATTGCCTTCTGTATTTGATGATGTGATTGATGACGAAGAAATGAAAACACATCTCTGTATAATCTTTTAGAGAATTTTTTATTCTTATCATTCCAGATCTTACTCTCGATAATCCATTTGATAACATTAGCAACATATTGTTCTTCTACAATATTGTCCTTCTCACCTATCTGTTCAATAAATGTCTGTAGATGTTGTTTAAGTTTAACTTGTAAATCATATGAACACCCATTGATGATGAATAAAAGTGACTTTAATGGGAGTCGAGAAGGTTTATCTTCATTTTGAGTAACTCGTTCAAGTTCTAAATTCAAAATCGAATCGAAAATTTTTTCATTACTAAGCCAAATTGAAATATGAGAAGAATAACACAGATTTGTCTGACATCTAGTTAAGATTTGACGAAGAATAGTATAATCATCAACTCTTGAATTGACAATGTGTTCTATGAGAGAATTAAAATGAAGTCCATCGTCATTGCTAAATATCTCGTTGATGATATCGATTAAATGAGAAAGATTTGAACGTTCAATAAATAGTTGTAAGGCAGCATACTGTGCAAATATTCTTAAATTTTTTTCATTTCGATATACGATCCATTGCTCAATTACTGCCAGAGCTTTCTCTTCAACTGTCAGGCATTCGAACATGATTGTAATAACTTCATGAAGAACATCTTTGTTCTGTGGTTTCTGCAAATAGTTTGTAATCCATTTTGCTGCTTCATATGTCATTATCTTGTCATTGTTTGACGAGTCATTCCCTTGCGATATTAATCTTTCCAAATAGAAAATTTTATCCTTATAATCACCATCTATATACATTTGTAAAAGATGAGTATCAAATGCCAATTCTGTCATATATATCAATGATAGAAAAGTAGTATTCAATGAACCAAATGATGTTCCATTAGTAAAACATCGAAAGAGTAAAGATAAATTCCATTCAGTAGGATCAAAGGATTTTGGTAAATCATCTGAATGTCCAAGTTCTTTCAGTACAATTAACACTGCTTCTCTACTGGGACTATCTCTATCGATTAGAGTTTCTCTCAATCTCTTACCAATCATCTTAATCATTAAAGAAATTGGAAAATCTTTTTGTTGTGTGTGAAACCGAACAACCATAAAAGTTAATGTTAATAATGGAAGAAATGGTAGAAAATCTTTCAGTAGAGGCGTCATTCTCAAATCTAATTCGTTTCTTTGTTTTTCATCAAAGATAAATGGATCTTTCATCTCTAATATCATATCCAAAGCAATGATTTGTAAGATTGGATCACATATATTTCTGATTGCATTGGATACTTTTTCGCCTAGAGAAGAAAAATGAGTGTTACTTGTTGTAGAATCATATGAAGGAGAGTAATATTGAACTTGAGAAAGTCGAGCGAGACAAATTGATGCAGCAAATAATCGACAATCTTTGTTTTCATTTTGTTTGATGTTATTTACATCTGAAATACGTTGACATTCCATATCAATTAGTTTTTCCCAATTGTTACACAAATTAATATAGTTTGATTCGAGTAACGTAACCTCGTCTGTTGGTTTAGGAGATTCTTTTGATGGATCTTCTTTGTTCTCATTCTTTGAGTTAATTTTGAAAAGAAGAACTGAAAGATAATTTTCCAACATATGTTCTTCGCATATTGATTTTATATTTGTTAAAACAAAAGCGAAGTTCGGATGAGTTTTACTGACATTTTCTAAATATGTTAAATATTGTGCTAAGAATACAACGAATGGTAATGAATCAGTTTTATCATTTGGATTAATAAATAGACAATGATAGAATTTTTTCAAAAATAGTGGGACAAAGGTCCATTGGGGGGATAGATCGTATTGAAAATCTTCTTGCATTGGTTGAAGATTCTCTTCGATTAAATTTAGTTTTCTCTGTTCATGTAAATGACTGAAGTTTGGTTGAAATTCTAAGTGATCATCATTGTCTCCATCAGAGCTCTCCGAGGAAAATGATTCTACTGACCATTGAATGAACAGTTTTTTCAGTGCAACATTATATATTGTTGAGTAGTCTGAATGTTGTTGATTGTCTTGATGAGAATGTGAATAGAACATCTCTATGAATAATCCAACTGTATTTCGAAATAAGGTTTCTACCCACCTACGCTCGTCATAATATCGCTCATAAAACATTCTTGTAATAAAAAAGTATGCTTGTTTTATTTTCTCAAATGCCATTGATAAAGCTCGGTATTTCGGATACTTTCGAATAATGAACTGATTCGAATCTCCGTGTAAACAGATAAGTGCAACAAAAGTATCGACAATATCATTTGAAGTATCAGATGGTGAAGCTTTCTTAATAACTGTCTCATATTGTTCGATGAGTGTTTGAACTTTAATTGAATGAGATTGTTTTTGATTCGTTAGATATTCTATAATAGGTTCCGTGATTGATGTTTCATGATACATTCGTCTATGTGACCAATAAATTTTAATCGACCCATAGTCTGGTTCCCAAATTACTCCACCACACACCACAATAAGGATAGGAAGTATCAAAGGATGAATAGTAGATACATCAATTTTCTTTTGCTTAAAATACGAAGCCCATGGATTGAAAAAAATATTATAAGATGCTCCTTCTAACATCATTATTGTTCGCAAAGTTTGATCGGCAACAAACTTAGCTGACGTGCCTTCATTATAGAATGAATCCAGTTGTTTAGAGATAACAGAAAATTTTGATGTTCGATATTTCCCACCAGGTAATCGTGATTTGAAACGATAGTCGTATTGCATCAATAAACATTGACAAAATTTTGAAAGAGATTTATCATCTTTGAACTGACTTGACATCCATTTTCGTATAATATCTTCAGACAATTTGAATAAATTTGGTATTAAGTATCTCTCTGCGATCATATTTGAAGGATGATCTAATAAACAACTGAGTGCAGTAAAAATGACTGATTCAGAAGGTAAACTTTGCATATCATTGAGAGCATCAAAGAGAAGAAGCGCTCCAAGTGGAATTGAATAATTCTCATTTGATCTAATAAGTACAGTGCAGAATCGATCAAAATAATCGAATGGCCATTTACAACTGATCCAACCCAAAGCCATAAGAAGTGGTTCACGAAAACAAGGATTGATTGTAAATGAAAGAATACGGTTTGCAGTTTTCTCGATCTCATAATATTTTGTAATCTTTTGATCACTAAAATCACATTTGACAAGAGATTGTGCAACAAAATATTCTTGAAATGATAAATGTTGAAAAGCAAATACGTTCAAACCACGTTCAGCCACAATACCTGCGTTCGATTCAAGAGTTTTTAACAATTTCTTAGTATACTGGCGAAGCTCTGCACCAGTAATAGTCACAATTCGTTGCTTTAGAGTTAAATGTGCCACACGTGTTATATCAAATGTATCAATGAGACCAGATGGTGATTTTAATTGAAGATAAGAGGAAAGATTAATCAGAAATTCTCTCAATAATTGTTTGGATATGCTTGGTTCCTGCTTGGTCCAAAAACGCAATGCTGATTCGACAACATGATGTAAAATTTCGATTCGAGATTTAGGACGAAATTCATTTAGTGATTGATATGTACTTGCGCAAATTAAAGTTAACAACGAAGGATTGAACAATAAACATTTTTCGCCATTTTCAAAGATCGATTTCACAGCTTCAATTCGTCTCTGCGATAAACGTTCTATTATTTGTTTGCCAATATTATTTTCTACACTGGACAATACTTTATGTACAACTTGTTCAACTTGTGACATCCATTTCTCTGCAAATTCATTTACTTGGTCTTGCTTCATGAGTGGCAATAAACAATGTGTAATGAAAGTACCAATAAGTGAATTCATATCATATCCAACAATACGACTTGTAATAATTATTTGATTGCCAACAGATTTACTTGGTGGTTGGGTTTCAACAACATGAGTACGAGGCCGAAAGTTATCAAATAATTTCTCATCGAATGCCGAGATAGAATTGGGATCTTTGACATATTCACGAATAAATTCTTCAATCAATCGAACAATTTCTTCTCTTCTTCTGACTTCAGGAATTTCATCAAGTCCATCGAGAAGAATCAAAGCATGACCACGATAGATCAACTCTTTCAGTACACTTCCACAACCATTTTGACAATATCTCTTTGAAAACCACGTGTGTTCACCAATATAATGGATTAATGTCTTTGTTGGATTGTATTGCAGCCATGATGCAAATTCACCGATTCGAATTAACACAGGAATACGAACTACAGTATGTTTATATCTTCCCAAAATTACTTTTTTATGTCTATGATAGAGTACATCTGCATAGATACGCATGATCGATCGAAGAAGAGTAGTTTTTCCATTTCCTGGATCACTCAAAATAACCAACCATCGTTCAGAATGTAAGGCTTCTGTGATATTCAATGTTTTGCTCTCTCTTTTTAGGTTTGGTTGAGCAGAAGTTAAAAAGCTATTTGCACTATTATTGATTGCCTTCTTCGAATTAGCATCAGTGAAAAATACGTCACTTTTGTCTATCAAGGATCTATCGAAGTAATCGAGAGGTATTTCAATGCATTTGAGTTTTTTTTCAAGACACGATCGATTTTTCTGGGTAAGTGACAAATGTGTCAGATCAAAACTCTTACAAAGAAGATCATCGATGTTCTCTACCAAGCCTGTTACCTGTATTGTTGAATGCAGAGAAATACATGTTTGAAGATATCTGTCGAGAAACATCTTGTGCTCTTTGATTAATTGGTCCAAACTCTTTTCTCCTTGCATCATCTGTTGAAATTGTACTTGACGTTGTTCAAGTTCTTCTTCGAAAGTTATTCTTTTGCGAAAAAGCTGCAGATTAATGTTTCTATTTTGTTTGCTATTTGGTTCATCCAGCACATAGATGAGATAATAATAGATTTCAAACCAAAAATTGAATTGGAGCGATTCACTATTATCCATCAATCGTTTTAATTGTTGACAAAACAATCGTATTTGATTATTGTTTGATAAATCTGAGTGAAGTAGTTGATCAAAACGATCACGAAGATCATGAAGAGTCTTTAATTCAGGTCTTGTAATGTTTGTACGGCATATCACTGTATGCAACATGTTTTTGGCTGATTCTAGTACATCTTTGATCATGACCTTCATGATTATTTCGATAGTATTAATATAAAAGAATGATGAAGTGACAAATGGTAAACCAAATATACTACACCAAGACAAAAAAGAAGTGAGTTACCATTAGATAATAATATTTAATTTTGAACCTGATTTAATATGAATCGTTAATATTTGATAATGACGTTATTTTTTCCAAGTATACAAGTTATAAATAAGTATATATATGACGCTGATAAAAATATCTCTGTCTTTGTTTTGATCTCAGGCTTTCCCCCCTAGTTGTTCTCTCTACTGAAAGGAGAGTCATACGCCCAGTGAGCTATCTTGGTTCGTTCGTATGTTCGTACGTTCAATTCTTGCAGTAGCTGGGTAAATAAGACTTCTTCAATAGGCTTTCGAGGATTGGAAAATCAGCCAATCAGATATTTCGAAGGTCTAACCCTCGTCTAATGGGATTTCGAGGATTGGGATTTCAGCCAATCACATATTTCTGAGGTCTAACTCTCGTTCAATGGGATTTTGAGGATTGGACCTGCAACCAATCACATATTTCTGAGGCTTAACTCTCGTCCAATGGGATTCCCAGGATTGTGATTTCAGCCAATGAGATGTTTTTGAGGTCTACCTCTCTTCCAATGGGATCTCGAGGATTGGGATTTCAGCCAATCAGATATTTCTGAGGTCTATCTCTCGTCCAATGGGGTTTCGAGGATTGGGATTTCAGGCAATTAGATGTTTTTCAGGTCTGACCCTCATCGAATGAGGTTTCGAGGATTCTGATTTCAGCCAATCAGATACTTTGAGAGTTCCACTATCGCCTCTTGATTCTTTTGCATTGGAGTTTCAGTAAATCAGATGTCCTTGGTATTTAGCGATCGTGTAGAGAGGTTTATAGTAATATGGTCGGAGAAAATGTTTTTATACATTTTGCCACCTACGAGAAAGCCTTTTCGGTACTGGGATGTAAGTAACTCAGATGTTGTCTTGTCTCCGTTTCTTGAAAATACGTTTCTGCGGGTGTGGGTGTAGGTGTGGATAGAAGGATCTGGATGTGTAATATCTGTTTATCTACAACCACAACCCACATCCCACCCACACCCAAAGCCACACCCCACACCCTATATACTCTAAACTGATTCAGGTTGCTCATACATTTTACCATGATAATACTCTAGTGGTCCTCTAATTATACTGTATATCTCAGATTTTTATCCTTTCGTATATAAGGTTATATGATTTCGAGTATAGCGGTGTTCGCATATTATTACAAACTTGATTTTCATTTGTACATTAAACCTTGTTTAACATATTTGTTGCATGCATGCATACATAACACTATGTACTAATATACTCCGGAATAAATTTTTATATTATGCTTTCCATTTTTTTCTATAATAACATATCAAGTTCACTTGTTAATATCGTCCTTATGGCCTCTATACAAATGGGTACACTTTATATATCATTACAGGAAAAAAGAAAGCATAATATAAAAATTTATCCCGAAATATATTAGTAGATAGTGTTATGTATGTGTACCACATAAATATGTTAAACAAGGTTTAATGTAAAAATGACAATCAAGTTTGTAATAGTATGTGATAATCACTAAATTTTGAAATCATATATGTACACAGACAACTCGAGTGGCCCTCTAACTCTAATTATGCAGTATATCTTAGAGTATTACGATGGTAAATATATGAGCAATCAATATCAGTTTATAGTATATTAAAAACAAGAGAATACATCATCATGCTATAAAAATAAAACCGAAAACTTCATATTTTAATTCGGACTTTTTATTGATTGAGCATAGTTATATAATGCCGAAAATCGAACATACTCACCTAATAAGTGATTCCGAAATATATAGGACTATTTGTGTGCTCACTACTAATTTTTCTTCATATTTATCGTTGACAAAATTACTGGGTTTTTTTTCACTTACATATAATTATAAAAATCAATGAAGTGTCACATTTTCATAAGGTAAGTACTTTTTAACCTGTAGATTTTTTTCTCAACTTTCTCATCGTCGCGTTTATTTCGTTCTGTCAAGAAAAGTGTCGTTTTTTGCTTTTCTTCGGGCTTTGTTGTTTTATGATATGAAAATATACATTAATGTTTACATATTTGAGCAGATTGCAAATCAATGTCGAATATTTTTTTTGACGAATAAACGAAATATTAATTTTTGGACTTTCAGATAATACTCAAAGTATAAAAAAGATTATTTAAGTTGCATTTCAGGTATTAGGGTGTGGGGTGGGTGTGTGTGTGGGTGTGGGGTGTGGGTGTGGGTGTGGGTGTGGGTGTGTGTGGGTGTGGGTGTGGGTGTCGGTGTGGGTGTGGGTATGGGTGTCAATATGATTTTTCAACCATACCCACACCCACACCCACACCCACACCCACACCCACACCCACACCCACACCCACACCCACACCCACACCCTAATACCTGAAATGCAACTTAAATAATC